GGTGTCGACCATAATGTCGACCTCAACGGCAACCTTAAGATACCCGTCGTATATGAACAACGATCTGATAGGACTGATCGCACCATTAATACCGATGCCTCGGCTCCACTTCCTAATGACGGGATACACTCCACTGACCACTGAGACCAATGAAAAGCAACGAAGTGAAGCCAACCAACCGGCCATTCGTAAGACAACAGTTTTGGATGTCATGAGACGTCTGTTGGACGACAAGAATATGATGGTCTCGACGCTAATGCAGGCGCGCAATGCCGGCCACTGCTATATATCGATCCTGAATATAATCCAAGGAGAGGTCGATCCGACACAAGTGAACAAAAGCCTTATGAGGATCAGAGAGGGCAAGAAGGCTCAGTTCATCCCATGGGGTCCGGCGGGCATTCAGGTGGCGCTCTCTCGCAAATCGCCATACATTCAGACACCACACCGAGTCTCAGGACTTCTCATCGCAAACCACACCTCTATATCATACGTAAGTCTATAGAAATACTGTATATTATTCACATGACATGACTATTGATTGATGGACTGACTCTTGGAATCAGTTATTCGAGCGAACTCTTCAACAATACGATAAACTTCGAAAACGTGAGGCATTTCTGGAACAGTTCCGCAAAGAGGATATGTTTAGAGAGAATTTGGATGAACTCGACTCATCGCGAGAGGTGATCCAGGAGTTGGTCGACGAGTACATATCGGCCACAAAACCAGATTATCTCCAATGGCTTCAGAAGAAGACATAATCATCTCTTATGACCATCTCTTGTAAGTTATTTCACTATTACTGTAATTAGTACTGCATTTGAATGCTTTATAATAATAGTGTCATTATTATCACCGTTTTATCACTTAATAATCGTTTGTATTTGAAAATAAAATATTTTCTCGAAATTTCTTTTAATTCATTAAAAATTGGTAATAAATTAATATTTGAAAAATTCATGATTCAAATTAAAAGAAATGGTAAAATGTATAAATAAAATAAGGTTTTATACAAAATATATACAAAAGAATTTGTAAAAATAAACTCAAAATTAAGTGATTTCAGGCGTTTCTAATTCAGGAACAGGTGATGGCGGGGGAGGGTATGGGTTGTTATAACTGCGTTCAGTGACAGGCGATGGCGGACCACTCAAGTCCGAGAAGTAGTGACTCCTGGGAGTTGGCGGCGGAGGGTAGGGGTCGGAGTCGTAACTGAGTTCCGCCTGTGAGTTGTCATAATAGGCGGTGTATTTGATGGGCGAGGGCTCACTGTCTTCGTAGACATCAGTACTACAGGGCGTCGGCGGCGGACCTCTGGTTCTCATCCAACGATTCTTTTTATGGCGATTCGGAAGAATGGCATTTCTGGAGCTGCGAGAGTGAGCCACAGAGGAACTGGCGCACGAACTGCCCTCGAAGTTGCACTGAGACTGGTCTGTCACTGGACTCGGAGGCGGGTTTAGTGTCTCCTTCGGGTAGTTATTGATGGAAGAGCTCGTAGAGGAGGCGCCCGTAATGTTGCGCTCATAACAGGGATCACTGCTCTGTTGAAGTGTTGGACAGACATTAAAGTTGGGATTAATTGGAAATCGCTTTCCAGACGTGTTTTCAGTGCTCGACAGCAATGGATTGGTTCGCAAATCACTGCTTTGAGGGTTGAGTGGTCTCTGAGCACTCATCAGCATATCATTGGCGCCGAAATCCTTTTCCTCGTAAGCCTGTGCTTTGCGTCTGCACTGGTAGGCAATGATAAAGATAACAAATATAATAAATACGGCGATTATAATGACAACACTATAGCCGGTTCGAGGCGCCGGTTGGTTAGCCATTTCTAATGGCATTCTATCCATTTTGTGTCGACAACTCTTTTGACTCTCATCGGAGCCGTCCATACAGTCGTCCTTTCCGTCGCACAACTGATATAAAGTCAAACAATTTCTGCCGGATTTGCATTTAAACTCTTCTAAACCACAACAGTGTTCGTCCGATCCGTCCATACAATCAGTCACTCCATCGCATAGGAGAGAGTTATCTAAACACTGGGACTTTGATCCGTCGCCAGTAGTTCGCGGACACGAGAACTCAGATTCCAAACATTTCGGACAATTTATTTCATCCGACTTGTCCTCACACTCTGGTTGTCCATCGCAGCGCCAAATCTGATATAAATCCATATATTTATCATACATCCATAATTTATCATACAATACATAATTTGATAATTACTTACAATTGGAATGCAATTCACTTTTCCTGTGAGACACGCGAACTGATCCGATGAACAATGCGGAGGACTTATGCACGTGTGGTCTTCATTGGACAATACCATTCCCATAGGACAGCCACATTTGTGAGTACTCCCGTTATGTCGAATAAGGCACAAGTGAGAGCACCCGCCGTTTTCGCTCTAATGATAAAACAATATTTTATAAGATAGTGAACGAGGCTTTCAGTCAATCTCAAGACTTCACTCCCAGAGACTATCGGTTATTGCTTTAGAAACATGTCATAAGTATAGCCTAAAGTTAATTCTTTCGACTTTAGCTATTATTATGTTTCAACGCTCAAGAATAAGATATTTATGTGAAATTAAATCAATGCTTACGAGGCATGCGAGTGATGATGAGTTTGTGTCCATCTTAGACACTGATATAATATCAGTGAGTTGTGGGATCCGATTATAAACGGTCTGTTTCTGTCCGCTTTCAGATAATTTGTTCACTCTTTCGATGACTTTCTGTTCCCTTTCAATGAGATATAAATAGTTGTCGTAAATGGCGATCGAAATCGGGTGCAAAACAGTGGCTTCAAGAATGACTCGTCGATTGTCTCCTTCGAGAGAACTGCATTCAATGTTCTGGTGAGCGCTCTCTGACCAGTAAATTAGATTCAGATCGTTGTCAACAGTCAGTGCCGACACTTCCTCCAAATTGGACTCAATTATAGGTTTTCTAATCAAACCTAATGTAGAAATTCTCTCGATTTTCGGTGGACTCATGGCGTTCACCCAAAATAAATACCTATTTTCCAAACAAGTCTTTTATAATTCATGTCTCGATTAAGTAATCTATAATTCATACCCTTTCTTGTAATGCAATGCTAAGCCTCGGGGTCTGTCGAGTCCATCACTAACAATGGCTCCGATATGTTGGCCATCCAGACGCGTCACGTTTATGGAGTTCGTGTGACTGCACGACCAGTATATGACTCTAGAATAGGGATCCACTTCCAAATCGTACGGCGCATTCAAGTCATGAGGATTTGGCACAACAATTGCCGTTCCCGTGCCGTTGATGTTAGCCTTTCTAATAGCATGGGTTCGGCTATCAATCCATATGACCACCTGTTCGTACGGGTCGTACGCCAAAGCCTTTACATTCTTAAGGTTATGAATGGGAAGAGTAATATCGGGCGCATCGGTCGCCGAATCCATTGTTAAGCGAGTGATTGAATTGCGTTGACTATAGAGCAGAAAACTTTGCGGAGCTTTGAATAAAAATGTTTAAAATATTTTTAATCACTTTTAAGACTAATACCGCAAAAAGTGTTTATAAATGAAGACATACCGGAACACGTCTTGTTGTCCTCATTGAGGATATAATGTGAAGAACAGAGACAACTGTGAGTATAAGCTCTTTGGTTATTACTGGGAAGAGCGAGACATAAGTGATCGCAACCACCGTTGTTGACGGCACAGGGATTCCAACCCGACTGACGAGAGTTGTGGTAAACGACTAAATCGACATCAGAATCGACAACAGAATCCAATTTTGTCTGAATTACAGAACTATCGAAAGGATTGGATTTATTCGCTCTTTCTATGGTATTCTCGACTCCATTCGACCAATAAATGAAGTCCTGATATATAGTGAGTCCGCGGGGTTTGAATGGATTGTTTTGATCGGATTTAATCACTTCGTTAGGAGTGGCGCCGTCCAGTCCTGAGCACAAGATTTTGTCGATGAAGGTGTCGACCCAATACAAGCGGCGCTCTTTGTAATCAATAGTCAGACTACTGGCCCGACCGGATCTGTTCACTATAACGAGTCGTTGAGTGCCATCCAGTGCTGAGCGTTCAATGCGCTCAATAGCCCCCCAATCGCTCCAAAACATAAGTCCTTCGCTGGGATTAAGTGCAATAGAGTGAGGATTATCCAAATCCTTCCAAATCAATGTTTTACGATATGATCCGTCGAGTCGCGAGACTTCTATCCGATTGGAGTCGCTGTCCGTCCAGTAGAGGTTGTCTGCAATCCAGTCGACCGCCAAACTCACCGGCGATTCCAAACCGAATTCAATGATGTGCTCAATATTACTGCCATTAATGAAGGATCGACTGATTGTCTTCAGCTTAACGTCTGTCCAATAGATTCTATTGTCAATCAAATGGTAGTCAAAAGATGTGATTTCATGAATGCCAGCGATTGGGATGAAATCCAAATGATGTGATTCTAATGATATTCTTCGGATATCGGCTTTCCGTGAAAACAATAGGAATGCTTCGGGAACTATACACGTGTGCATATCAGTCGCCAATTCATAGCCCATAGGACACGCGCACACATTCTTCTGCTTCGGTTTATATAGACATAAATGACTGCAATTCCCGTTATTAATGGCACAGGGATTTGAACCGAGCACTCGATTCACAGAAACCGCTTTAAGACCCATGAGATCAGGCAATTGGTCGACTATTGTCTCTCGTTGTTCACCCGTTATCTTATGCACTCTTTCGACAGACCTTCGCTGCCAATCACTCCAATAGACGTAATCGTTAAGTAAAGTAAAACCGAAGACATGCGGCAATTGATCCGAGACTATGACTGTTCTCTCAGAGCCATCGAAATTAGATTTTTCTATTTTATCAGTCTTTGCGTCCGACCAATAAATTTTGGACATTTCGTAGTCAATGGCTAAACCATTAGGCCATCCGAGTCCTGTACTTATAACAACACTTCGTTGTGTGCCGTCGAGCGCCGCCCTCTCTATCTTAGCTTTCGTGCCCCAATCGGTCCAAAATATAAGTCCGTCGATGGGGTGAACCACTATAGCCCGCGGTTCATCAAGTCCTTCAGTCAACAATATTTTCCTATACGTGCCGTTAAGTCGGGCCACTTCTATGCGATCAGTTCCTGTGTCCGTCCAGTATATGTTGCGGGCGATCCAGTCTATGGCGATGCCGTCCGGATGATGCACTTCAGTGGACACTATATCTTCCTGTTGGGAACCGTTCAGAAAAGCCCTTCGGATCACATGTACGTCATCGTCAGTCCAATAGATCTTCTTATCAATTGGATCGAAATCAACGGCAATCGCGTGTTTAATGTGACGCAGAGGTAGCACAACATCCGTGTGGTCTGACGTGTCCAGTGATATGCGCCGAATGTCTACCCTTCGGGCTAATAACAGAATCTCTTCAGCACTCGGGGCGCATGTCTTGAGGTCAGGAAGGAGTCGGACACCTGTGGGACAGCCGCACGAATAGAATGGAGAGATGGACGACAATAAGCAGAGGTTAGAACAGCCGCCGTTGTCGTGATCGCAGGGGGTGTCAGACGTTAGTTGTCGTGACGAGGAGTACACGTGAATATCCATTGGCGACAGCTTTCCGCTGATAACCTTTCGTCGTTGACCCGTATTCTTGTTAAATGAATGTATGGCTCGTGTTTGCCAATCAGTCCCTATTTGTCACATCCATGTTAGACACCATTTATAAGACAATTAATATACAAATGCTTACAATATATAGTGTCCGACAGAATAGTTAAGGCGAACGGATGCGGAAGATTGCCGTTAACCACAACTTTCCGATTGCTTCCCGAAAAGTCCATCGAAGATATAAACTTGAGTTTGGCGTCCGCCCAATACAACCTATAGGTGCACATCATGTGTCACAACCGGTAAACACAATCAATTGAATAGACAAACCTTTTGGCCTCATAATCAATGGTTAGACCGTTGGGCCAATAGATGTTGTCTTTCACTACAATAGACCGAGTGATGGGTTCGCCATCCATTGAAGACCTCTCTATTTTAGGCACTTCTCCCCAATCCGTCCAAAACATTAGACTTTTTGATAAATAAGACATTTTTAATACAGAAAACCTTCTTCAAGACATTTAGAGACATGTCATGTATTGAAAAGCATAGAAATCGAGACAAATCTTACAATTCTTTGGATAGATTTGTAATAAGAATGCATTAAAAGAGAGTGAAATCCAATGAATCAATAGATAAGATGTTAAGAGAGTATAATGAATGTGACAAATGGTTACCCGTCTGCGGGGGCGAGTGCTATAGCCCGAGGCTGATCCAAGTCGTGCCAAAACAGCACTTTCCGATCGGTGCCATCGAAACGACTCACTTCTATACGATTGGTCTCCGAGTCAGTCCAATACAACTTCTTCGTGAGCCAATCACAGGCCAAACCATCGGGTGATATGATTCCGGTGTTGATGATAGTGAATGCCTTGTCTTGACTGATACTGCCATTAACTTTGATGCCTTTAATGGTCTCGAGTCCGATGTCGGCCCAGAAGATAATACTATCTTTGAAGTAGTAGTCGAGAGCCGCCGCCTCTTCCAAGTGGTTCATAATGACCGACGCATTTGGTCGAGGATTGTCTGAATTGACTAAACAGATGTCCTTCCGATTGGCAAACAACAGGTATGTCGGACGACTCACTCCTGAGGAATGGCATCAAATGGTGGTTAGTATGCACTCAACAAAGCAATCGATGTCTGAAACACATACCTGAAGTGATTGTGAAATGAATGAATAAAATGAATAATAAATAAATGCATTTATGACTGAATTGATGTCTTCGGCGGTAACAGTAATGATAATGTGTTTGTTTGTGGCACTCATTCGTAGGAATCGACTTCGAGTGAAGACAATGGCAACGATTGTCGTGACTTTCACTCATATTGTCATCAATTATGAGATTATTACTGAATATGAAGTAAACCAACACTGAATTCACATTTCAATCAAATAGTGTTCAAAACAAATGATTTGTAAAAAACTTTGTAATCAATGAAAACATAAACAAAAGTCAAATGAGAGCTCAATGTGTGACTCAAGTGTTCAATACATGAGTCTATTGTGTGGAAGACATCCAAACCTCTCACAAAAAGCCATTTCTTAAGCAAACCTTAAGTTTTCTGAACCAATGAAAGCAATGCATTGACAGTGCATTCAATCACTTTCTAGTAGTGTTGCCACTCATACGCACCCATACACCGCATGTCCTCACAATCAACTGTCCATCTATTTGTGCCTCACATCCAAGATCAATTCAAATGCAAATGTGTCACTCAACTCATTGCCACTCATTTTAAGTTTACTTTCAAATTAGTTATTAATTTTGAACAATTAATGCTAATAGCAGTACAACTGGTCACCCTATATGGGCACAGCTTCTACTCCATAGGTTAGGCACACGTGTTATGCACTCCAGCTGTGCAGGCAATCCATCAATTTGACAATTTATTCACAAAATTGGTTTCATTTGATTTGATAGGGTAGCGGCTAGAATATAGGCTATAATACTGTATTTACATTGCAATCTCAAAATAGTGGTTCTAAACACAACTTCTAAACATGACATGAATCCTTTCATTTTGCACACTGTTATCATAAACTAGATTATGAATCATAATTAAAACAATAGTAAGGCATATGATTTGTCTGGAGAAGTTTTCAATGTTTAGACTACTGTCGGTTAACCAATTTAACTGTTCACTAGATTTATTTAAATATAAGTTTATTTAGAATTACACTAATTCATCATAAATTATAGCCATTATTACAATAATTATAATCATTAAATGCATACAAAATTGATTGAATTGTTTGCTTTTTTAATGTGAATATCATTTGAAATTACAAATATTTAAAATAAGTTTATTTGCAGCAAAATTTTGACATTTGTTTGAATAAATACTTACGAAAAATAATAAACAATTGAGTCAATACTTACCTAACATTTAATTTTTAAAAATCTAATCAAAGTGTAAATTCGTATTAAATTAGATTAACTTAAAGTGAAAATCATAAACAAATTCGAGATTAGAATTGATTATATGTTTTGAGGACTATATCTATAATAATGTGATGAAAATAGTGCTGAGTTTAAGGCGAATACAACTCCTCTTTGGTATTGTAGGCGACATAAGTGGGTTGACTGTAGTCTTGAGCGCCGAACTGGTCCGAGGAGTTCTCGTCGCCGTATCCGCTCTGGAAGTTCTCGTTCTCATACATATCACTGTTAGAGTACAACCCTTCCTCCGGTTCCTCTTTAATGTCATTCTTAATGGAATCCATTTTGTCGTTCCTATTGTTGTTCTCATAATCTGTTCTGTGGTTTCGTTTTCTCTCTCGACTGTGACTCCGACTCTTCCGTCGTTTGCGAGACTTCTCTAAGTCCTGGTGTTCTCTACTCTCAGCCCTTCGTTCTCTACGTTCGATGCGCTCCACGCCATCCCCTCCCCCTGCCGTCTGTTCCTCGCCATACAGCGTATCTCTAGAGCTCTTTGAGCGCTCCGAACGCCGATGACTCTCATAACCTTCTCTACGACTACGTCGGTCTCTGTCTGTCTTCTCAGGCCTGTCTGCCCTCTCAGG